TTTTTCACTTTGTCCAAGTTATTTTATATTGAATCTCCTCAGAAATATCCTGACAAATGAATAACTTGTACTTTTTGGCCGTTTTGATTGGGAATTAAATGAATGAAGTCGGCTGAGCTCACCAGGTTTTTGTTCTAAAGCTGTTCTGCAGCTCCGTCTTTAAAAATAGACCAAACCTCCATTGTGTAAGAACATGCTGCCCTCTACTGGTAATGAGTGTAAAACAAAATTTGGAAGATGGAAATAACACCACCAAACTGAAAAAAGTCTGTACACCCCCCCTCCCTCACCAGCCCCTCCCAGATTAAAGGCACAGGGGCATTTTTTCATGTTCGAGGTCGTGGTAAGTCCATTGAAATCATTACATAAGGAGTCATTCACTGACATCTATCACTGTAGCTCCAAATTTCTAAACCAGCTTTTGAGAGGTTCTGGCCTGCCTCCTGTCACTTTCAGGAACATAAAAATAGAACAAACAAACAGCCAGATGGCGATTGCAGTAATACTTATGAACCATCTGGGGAGCTTTTCAACTCTCTGCTGTTTACATTTAAAACTGGTATTTTAATGAGTTTAACTTCCATCCCATCCTGCCACTTGCTCCACAGTTGTGTGGCCAGTTTCTTGGTTGCAAAATAAGCCAGTAAACTAGTCTGTGGACTTTCACCAGTAGTGGAGATGGCAAGGGGCTCATGGAGTGAACAAGCCTTGCAGTGATATCACTGTGTAAACTTTTTTTGGTATTATATAAATTGGCCTACAGTCTTTAGCTTTAAGGCAGGTTTAGAAGAAACTAGTTTCCACCTGTTCTTTCCCTCTGAGCGCAGTGCTGCACAATACCTTCCAATTTTACCCATTTTAAAGCAGCATTCCGGCCTAAAACTAGAGTTCAATATGTTATTTAATATGCTATGCAGTATTCTGTAACATACCATCATATCCCTCCAGCCCATGCAGCCTTAATTAGGGGCAGTCACAGGCTGGATGTTAGGGAGCCAGCCTTGTGACCGGAGGTTGCCGGTTGGGTCCCCTGAGCTGACTGTATGTGACTGAAGTTGAGTGTGCCTTACACAATACAACCATTGGGAATCCCTGCAGTGTCAACCAATCTTAACTGCTAGCCTAGACACTAAGTTATACAGGGAGATTCACTCGAAAGAGGCCCCTGAATATTCTGTAATAACTCTCTCTAGGACGAAGCAATCTGAACGAAACAATGTGCAATGAGCTCCTCAGTATATGGAGCTTTGAACAGGCCAGGATGCCCCTGCGTCGGAGCGATGAGGTCGGCGCCGGACAGCCGTTGAGACGTTTTAACCTCCGTTTGCAACTTCCGGGTGCAGACCCCCTGTACCCCTTCATGTGTCTGGCAGAAAACGGAGATCACTTCCAGCATCGCATGTAATGCATTCGATTACACACACGTCAAGGTATGTAGCGTATGTTTTTTGGTTCAGATTGCTTCATCCTAACAGGAGTTACAGCAGAATATTCAGGGCCTCTTTCGAGTGAATCTCCCTGTAGAATAATATATACAACCAAGCTAGCATTAGTGCAACTTTCACCTTGGTCGTTAAACAAAATCATAAAGATAACAGAAATCTTACCTTTATTTGGTGCAGAATCAGAGCTAGACAGATGTTTTTCACCCTTTCAGCCAAATATAAACAGACAGAAAAGCTCCAGTCATTGATTTCTGTCATTTGAATAATCCACCCTTTCCATTGTAGCAGTGATTTAAAGACAGTTAGTACAGTTACACACAGGGGCATCACTAGAGTTCACTAAGAAGGTCTGGGGGCACACGCCCACAGGAGGGTGTTTTTAATTGCTCTAAGATGTCTGTTCATTATGAACTTTGAGAGTAGCAGTAGCTGGAATTTTTTTGCAAAAAACTGCTGTTTGACCAGGTTTTGCACACAAAAGATGTGTTTCTTCGTGGTGTGTAAAGCACAGATCTTTTACAACTTAACCCCCTAGCAAGCCATGGGCCTGCAGTCTGGCCCAAAGTTGTATTACACACTTCTATAACCTAAGAATAGCTTCATTAGTTTGCATTGAAGTCCCTGTAGTTACTGAATAATAAGCCTTAGTATGTAATAAGCCTGAAATGTTAAGGGATTAAATATGAAATCCACCTGCACAGATCAAACAAAGCTATTAGCACTGCTGTCTCCTCACTCTCAGTTTAGCTGCAGGTCATTCAAATACACAGATTATAGTTTGGTACAGGCTCAGTTTGCGCAACCAGATAGAGTGTGATTTTGTTCTGTAGTCGCGCTTAGCTCTGTGTTTAACAGTCTAGGTGACGTCGTCATGGTGATATTTATCAGCACAAACATGATATTTTCTCAATTTTCAGTACTAATTTGAACTGAAAGCTTAAACAACACTCACTCGCTTTCTTCTGGACCCCTAACCTCTATCAGCCCTGCTTCTTCAGCTCTGTCAGTCTCCTTCAGCTCCTCTCTCTTCGCTAACTTAGATTTACAAGAACTCAAGGATCAATAAGTTATTTTTTTGTTTGAAAAATCTTGGTTTGGCTTCTACTGATCTGCCATCTCTTAATGATCATCTACAGATTGAAGAATTCAGGAATATAAAACTACGATACAGTCAACATGACACCAGCATCAGCTACATATGTTAAAATAATATATAGATAATACTGGTGTGATAGTGTCAAATATTAATGTTTGTGCTTACCTCACGTGAACTTACAGGTAGCTAAAGCTAACAAGCGATCAGTTAAAAACTTGATAGCCAAGTAAACTGACAACAATTTGCACAAATACACATGGTAGGTAAATATCTTCACTCTCTAACTAATTACTGATTCAGAATGTATATGACAGATTTTTAATAAGGTTTAATCTTTATTTTAAAAAGCTGGAACCCTGTCACAACTTCACTAGGTCATTCTACAGAAACGTCCACTTTTCCAACTGTCTATAGGAGTCACTGATGTTACTGATCCTCACTGGTGTTACACATAATAAAGGTAACACCAGAGACATTTTTAATGAAAAATACATTTTACAAAATGGCTGCTACAGAGCATCAAACCACATGATGTCAATCATGGAATATTCACTAAAATATGTAATTTAATCCATTTGTGTTCTATTTTTTCACAGTTACCTCAGAATAAAGTCGGTCACACCAGCGACTTCAGCTAAAAGCTTCATATGAAATCATGAGCTAAATGAGAAAATCTCTGATAACTGAAAGACACAGTGGACTCACCATGTGCTTTTCTTCATAGATCCTCAGAAAACAGGTAAAAGGAAGTCAGGTGATGTCATCAGTGTGACTTTTATTTCAAAATAAGAGATTTTTTGTTGTGCAGTAACACCAGTGACACGACTCCTGGGGACAACAACTTTCATTCTATATTTTATAATATTTATTTGGCATTAGTTTTCTTTATGTCATTTAAGTCATATATTTCATAGTCGTGTATGGATTATTGTAGTTAAAATTGCAGAAAAGCATGGTTTTTTTTTACCTCAAAATATGGCCTCAGCCTTTACACATGACTGTGGGGACGAGCTCTTCTGTGGTGATTGGAATTTTATATGATGGATTTAAAAACCAATATTGCTAAATTGAGGCTCAAGAACTGTTAAAATACACAAAAATGGACATTTCTGAGCGGCACCAGAGAACCACCTCCAGTTCTGATATAATTGGCTGATATAGTGTACAAGGTCTCATATGATTGGCTGAGCCGGTGTTACACTTTTCCCCAAATCAAACAGTAGAGAAATATAACACTCATGTTGTTATGTTAGCAAATCTCTGCTAGCAGCGTCGAAAGCAGAGGGTGGAACAGAGCAGCAGCAGCGCCTATCCCAGTTCTCATCCTGCTTTCACAGTAATGCTGTAAATTTGGAGACATGATGGCACATTTAAATAATGAATAATGAAGAATAAATGCAAAATACTGTTGATAATAATGTGCATTCACTTCTGGGGCTAAATATTTGGCCTAGCGACGCCCCTGGTCTTAGCTATTGCTTTTTACTTTTTTACTTTTGTACTTTTATCTCTTTACTTTTTATTTCTTTTATTAGTTTTCTTTTTATTTCTTTTATTATTGTCAATTTATTGTCTTACATCTATTTCTTTTATTTCATTAATTTATGTTTTTATTTATCTCATCTTAATCTGCTCTGTTACTTGATTAGTTGTTATATTGTAATTTTGAATCCTTTATTGATTCAACAGTTTATTGGTCCCTTATTATTAAATGTTACTGTTATGATTTTTATTATTTAATTATAGCATGTGATTTATTTTTTTACCGTACAACTTCTCAATCCCTGATTCCTGTATTACTCGGCTACATTGTAAATGAGGGTCTCTCTCAGTGTGTTCGGGAGTTTAAATAAAGGTTGATTGATTGATTCATTGATGATTGATTGATTCATTGAATTGGCTGCACAAAATGTGGCTTGCTAGCAGATTGCCTTCTTTCTGTGTTCCCAGCCAGCCCCCAAATACCCATCCTAAAGCAGCTGTAGTTGTTTTTGTGAGAGTGCACAAAAACAGTGATTAATCTCTCTAATGGAGTGGAGTCGGCGGGGGGTGAATTCCTTCATCATTTCATTGACCTGCCATGACACTGAGCCAGCATGACAGCAGCAGTTTCGTTCTATTTATTCGCTTGTTTACGTTTGCTTTTATATATTAACTCATCACATCTCTGAATTACTCTGACATTTGTACTGAAATAAAAATAAATATATATACATGAAATATTTTAGCGCATTAGCAGAAGACGTGAACGTGACAGACGCTTTTGGCAGGGCGGCGGGCATGATTCGCCAAAACAAGCAGCACGGACTGGCTCAGCGGCAACTCGGTTTAAAATCGCCTTCCATAAACCCAAAAGACAGGAAGGAGTGTTTCGGTCACTCTTCATTTGTGACCATCCATTTGTTTTAAGAACTGACCACAACGTTGCGGCGAGACGCGAATGTGCCGTTCCGAAAGCTCAGCGTGAACTCTTCGGCCGCGATGACGTAGCGACGGATGAACAACAAAACAGTTGTGGGGCTTGAAGTGTGTGTCTGTGTGTCTGTGGGGTCGTGTTTTTCTATGTGCTCGCCTGCGGCCACCTCCGTGTTTCGCCATCATACGGACGCAGAATCGCGCTGTTAACACCTTCAACCCGAGGCGCTTTGTCGTGGAGGCTTTGGGCGCCCCGGCTCGCCCGTTCGGCCGCCCGCAGCGCGGGCAGCTCGTCATGACGGCCGACTTTCCTCAGCCGACCCGAGGACTGAGAGGCGCCGCTCTTCGGTGACAGAGAGTCAAATTTGCACCTCCTCCGCTTCGACATACCCGCACCGAGCCGCCTGGAAACACCGAGCGGCACGGTCGGTGTCAGTTTAGCGCTTTTGGTCCAAAATACTTCGCTTATTTCTCACTTTTCACGCAAATGAAACGGTCTTGGCGCAAGCTAGCCAGAGCTGTAGCCGCCGCCGCTGCTGCTAACAGTCAGCTAACGTAATGGAAGCGCCGTGAGAGACTCCCCCCCTCATTAATGTCCTGTATTTCTTGCTTTTTGTCAATAGTTTATTCGATCTAGATACTTATTAGGTCTGTGTTGACGCGAAGGAGAAGTCCGGTCTAGCTACGTTCGCATTGCTCCCGGTTGAAACTGTACGAACTAGTGTTGTTATTGAATCCAGTGGAACAGGATCCTGACAGAAAACAGCTATGTGGGGTTTGGACGTTATGCTGCCCAGGTGATTTGGAAACGAGGGAAGGTAGTGCTTTCAGTGACATCTGTATAATTTATATTTCACAGTAGGTGCTTCTCTGGAAAGGTGAAGGAGTCTCGAGTGCGTTTACAGCAGCGCAGGCTTTTCTGTTTTGCTGGTACAAAGAAGGCAACAACAAAGTGGGACTCCGTGCAGCCTCGGAGTCACAAGACTGAGTAATACTGCACAAGACTGAATAATACTGCACAAGACTTAATAATACTGCACAAGACTGTCCAAGTTCATATTAGTGGACATGCGTGTGTGTATTGGAAGTAAGTGGTGTTATTTAAAATGTTGAATCCAAAGTTGCACTTATCAGAAAGGCGCTGAACTGTTTTTTTTCTGTTCTGAGAGAAATTATTATAGTAATTATTAGACAACATAGACTATACAAAGTACATAGGAGTACATAGACTATACAAAACTACTCAGAGTCCAGTTTCTCAAGGGGGCAGTCGGTGGTGTGCTGCGGCTCTACTGAAATGAGAAGATGAATAGTGAGGATCAAGCTCTAGATTTATGCAATGCAAATGTAAAAACCGGCGTCGACACTGCAGCACACGTCTCGGAGGAGATCATTCCACGCAACAGCCTTCGTTTGATGGACGGGGATGCAGGGAAGCAAGCAGGTGATGCAGAGACTCTTGCTGATGATGCTCTGGCAAGAGTGACGGACTGTCATGTGGGGGACAAGGACAACGATGGCAAGAAAGGCAAAGAAGAGCTGTTTCCACAGAACAACAATGGGCTCGCCGTTGACTGCAGGTCGAACGGCAGCGAACAGCAGGAAAGTAGCAGAGAGAAGTCGCAGTTTTACTGCGGCCGACGACGGCGACATGGACATCGGTGTGGATTTAAGTCTGGACGAAAGTGGAGTTTTGGAGTCCGAACCGCCGACGGCTTGTGGGACCGCTTTAAGTGAGGAAGGTGCCTCTGGTTGTACTGGTGCGAAGCCCTTAACGTTGGACACCGATGCAAACAAGGATGTGCAGAAACCCTCAGAAGGGGGCGATGGGATGCCTCCTGGTTTAACGAGTGTGGAGGTTCTTACTCCGTCTCCGGCCCAGGAAGAGGGCGTAGGGCATAAACATGGAGCCAAGAGGGTAACGTTTCCTGCTGATGAGGAGATCGTCTCCGGATCGGTTGAGCCCAAGGACCCATGGCGGCATGGTAGGTTCCTTAAATGTATTGCACGCTGCTGTTATGATATCCCTCATACTTTGCTCTGTAGTGTTCTTGTGAAGGTTCTTCAGCTGTTGTGAATGATGTTGTTGCCTTTCCACTGGGGCTCAAGGTTCTGAAAAGGTTGGTTCTTTAGTAAAGACAATCATTCTATGTAGAACCATCAACACTCTAAGATCCATTTGCATGCTTAAAGTGTTCTTTGCCTGGTGAAATTGTTCTTCAGATTGATGGAAAATGTGTTCTATATACCCCCAAAATGGGTTCTGCCATTGTTATGGTGTCAACGCTTGTAACAATAGCAGAACCTTTTTGGTGCTATATAGAACCCTATGCAAACCTATACAAACATCTCCATCAATCTGAAGACTGATTTCACCATGCATAGAACCCTCTAAGAATGCAAATGGATCTTAGAGTGTTCATGGTTCTATTTAGAACCACTGTCTTTACTAAAGAACCCTTGAAGGACCACCTTTTTCGGTGTGTACATTGTTAAAAAAAACATTGTCTTAAGTTTTCAGAGGAGAAATTAAACCTAATAACACAGAGCTTGTGAAATGCCTGTAGATAAGATAGACCAATCAGAGACAACCAAACCTCCATGTGTTGTGACATCATAACCACGACTTATTGGCAGTTTGGCCATTCAGGGGTCCAGCCAAAAAAAGGTGGATATACTGGCCTTCTTGGCCAAGCCTGAATCTCAGTTTCTTAAAAAATAATCGCAATATAAGTTGGAAACAAATCGCAATTAGATATTTTCCCCAAATCGTTCAGCCCTACTTTCCACAGCAGGAACTTGGGTTCTGTTCCTTGCGCACCAGCTTCACCAGTAAGAGTCCTTGGGCTAGACTCTTAACTTTATACCTATTTTTAAATCAAAATTTGGAAAAGAGCATCTACCAAATGCCTAAATGCAAATGTCAACATGGTAGCTGCTCCAAAACATGCTGATCTCATCTCGCTCAGCAAGCACTGCTGCTTCACTGTCCAAGATAATTTCACCTTGAGCTCAAAATGTTCACGCCCTGCTGCCGAGCCTTTGAAAACGGCTTGTGTTACCTGTCCTCAGGAGAGAGGAACAGAAAAGGAAGAGTGAGGGAAGCTACAGTCTTTCCAAGGTTCTTGTGATCAAAATGACATTTGATCACTTTAGAAGCCTCCATAACGACTGCGTTACGACACGCACCACAGCGCTATCTGTTTCCCCTTGCAGCAGCAGGAGAGAGACACTCTGAGTTTACCATGACATCATGCTTCAGAATGGGAAGCACATGTAACCAGCTTTAAAAAATCCAGTTCGAAGATCTAAAATGAAGCTTCAAGGTTTGCTGAAAAAGTTTATTCAAAGACGGATCTCAATTCGCTGTGTGATTTCAAGATAAGGATACGTGTAATCAGCGTCCAGAGGCCCGTCTTGTATGTAAATAGGGCCTGCAGGACTCTCTGTCTTGTACTCCCAGCATGACTTTGTGCTGGAAAGTTTACCGTTTGCTTGGTTTTGGGATAAGAGAGCACATTTACATGTGTAGGTGAATGTGTAACCTGTTCGTCTTCTCTCTGTTGAAGGCCTAATGACAAAAGGCAGCCGTGCAATCAGGCGTAACATTATGACCACCTCCTTGTTTCATTGTCCATTTTATCAGCTCCACTTACTATATAGGTGCACTTTGTAGTTCTACAGTTACAGACTGTAGTCCATCTGTTTCTCTGCATACTTTGTTAGCCCCCTTTTACCCTGTTCTTCAGTGGTCAGGACCCCCATGGACCCTCACAGAGCAGGTACTATTTGGGTGGTGGATCATTCTCAGCACTGCAGTAACACTGACATGGTGGTGGTGTGTTAGTGTGTGTTGCGCTGGTCCACTCTATTAGACACTCCAACCTTGTCAGTCCACCTTTGTAGATGTAAAGTCAGAGACGATAGCTCATCTGCTGCTGCACAGTTTGTGTTGGTCATCCTCTAGTCCTTCATCAGTGGTCACAGGACGCTGCCCACAGGACGCTGTTGGCTGGATATTTTTGGTTGGTGGACTATTCTCAGTCCAGCAGTGACAATGAGGTGTTTAAAAACTCCAGCAACACTGCTGTCTGATCCACTCAGACCAGCGCAACACACGCTAACGCACCACCACCACATCAGTGTTACTGCAGTGCTGAGAATGATCCACCACCCAAATAGTACCTGCTCTGTGAGGGTCCATGGGGGTCCTGACCACTGAAGAACAGGGTAACAAAGTATGCAGAGAAACAGATGGACTACAGTCTGTAACTGTAGAACTACAAAGTGCACCTATATAGTAAGTGGAACTGATAAAATGGACAATGAGCATAGAAACAAGGAGGTGGTCATAATGTTATGCCTGATCGGTGTAGCTTAAGACCGTCTGACGATGCTTAGGCCTGTAACATAATGCTGACTCACAGACAGAGAGAGAGACATTTTCCGCAGATTATCACGTTCCCCCCAGGTCCTGCTTTATTGCTAGTGGCCTGTTCTTCAAACTGCAATTAGCTTCACTGAGTCAGTGGGACGTGGCCGGGAGAGGCTGTGAAAATGACCGAGGCCGATTTCATTAGCTTGGAGAACAGTTGGGCTGCAGCCAGAAACGGGATGTTCTATGAAAACCTTTCAGAGGGAAAGAAACTCACGCAATTGCATGTAATCTAATCGCTTAATTGTTGCTGGTAAAAGCTCCAAGCGTTCAGCCTGGACAATTAGGGTTTTCTGCTCAAAACTCTTGTTTTCACTGGTCTTTTTGGTCTGTCTGGGACATTTAGGCTCGATTGCCAATATGCTTTGTGTTCTGTTGCACACTCAGTTCTTGAGAAAGATATTGGAGAACAGCTGTAATGGTTTGTGTAAGTTTTAGCCTTTGGGTACAACTGATAGCACCTCTGCAAGCTGCTTTGTCGGTCAGGTGACCCAACAGCAGACTTTACTGAATGGATTTTTATCTTGGCTGTCGTTGCCTTAGCAAACTGAGTCGATAGGCTCGGGCTGTTCCAAGCAATTGTGCTTCGGGTTTCCCGCTGTGACATTAATCATTTTCATGAACCTGCCTGTGTTGGTTCGCTCACGTCTAGCTAGATCTGGGCGATATGGCCAAAAATGTTATCACGATAAAAAATTTCACATCAGTCGATATCGATACATATCGCGATAAATGTCAAATCATTATTTCTTTCAAGTTTGAAGTAGGGCTGAAAGATTAATCGTTTTTATATCCGAATCGCAAATCCAAAGAGTGCAATTTTCAAATCGCAAGATTTTTTCTAAATCGTTCAGCCCTAGTTTGAAGGCCGATTTTTGCTCCTGGGTGGTCAGTTGCTAAACTATCCTTTATGGTCAGAACATGACAAACACTCACCAACCAGTGGAACATTTCACTAATCTGTCCTGGGACAGAGGGAGAAAGTTTCTGATCAGCTGTGTTTACCAGCTGGAAAAGCACAGCCGCAGTTTTTTGTTATATTCATAATTTAAGAAAGAAAACAGATTATTTTATCTGTCTGGTGACGAGAGCTGGGCTATCTGGTTAAAGCGCTAAACTGTTTAGTTTCTCAACAACATCAACTTAACACGAACAGCCAACATTGGCTGGCTCGGTACGTCAGTGATGGATCACACCGCCTTACTGCTGTGACTCCTACCACATCCATGTCAGAGCATATCACAGTATTCAGACACCAGCTAGCGACTGGATTTCTCTATTCTATCATCGTAGTTTGAGGGGTGAACCGCAGTATATCTGACGCTCACTGTGTAAAAACATCAACTGCAGTGTGAATCTCTCACCAGACAAACAGAGTCCTCCTTTTAGGTACGTTTAAACTGAAATTGGTGCTTTTGTGTCGTGTTTGATCTACAGTAGCATCAATTCTCCATGTTGTGCGAGTGACAGAGCTGCTTCAAGTTAGCCAGCTGCTAAAATCAGCTAGCCTGGGAAGCTAACGTTCTACTCAGTTTACCTTTGTTTAAATCAGGGCTGTAACTCACATGAACCACTTCTTTCTTTCACTTTTGTTGTTTTTGAATGCACTAATACTAAAATATGACTGAGAGCTGTAACAGTGCTGTAGCTGTGAGGAGCAGACATGATTTAACGCTGCTAAAGCTGTTAGGAAAGAGGTGAGTTCGCTGTAGGACAGTACAGTTACACCACTGACCTCGTAACTCACACTCGGTCACAGGAGATCAGATCGCCGGTCGCGCCACTCAGACAGGGAATGTATAACTCCATGTTTCAGATGTTTCTAAAGTATATTTGGTGACTTATTTCACTCCTTGACCCCCTCGCTCTATAATCATGTAGAAAAACTCGAAAGAGCGTCCTCTCGTGGCGACAGCAGAGTAGTGTCGCTTTCCTTGCAGTAGAACGTGGAAGTGTGAGAATGCTCTATTATATTGCACATTTCTTTTATTTCTATCGAGGAAAGTTATATCGCGATAATTATCGTTATCGTTTTATCGTCCAGTCCTATGTCTAGCTGTATCAATATGATTGTCCTGTAGCGCTCGTACCTGTTTTGCAACCAGGTTTAAACCAGTTGATGCCTGCAGGGTCACAGCTGTGCCTTCAGCATTAGTTTTTCATACTCTTGCTTTTTGACTAGACAGTGTAAAGAAGTGGCCTGCAGGCTTTCTTTCACTGTATTTTGTCTGACTACCCTCATCAGTACTTGCCCTGTCTCAGAGAAAGTGAAACGGAGGATAAAAGCCTTTCATTTTTTTCGGGGAAGTGATGCAGGGCCTGATCGGTCACAGAATCTACTTGTCGGTGCCTTTGATACATGTTTAAAAAAGCAGCCTAAATCTGGCTGCTGGTTTCCTCAGATTTACACAAATTCTTTTGGGTGCATTATGAGCTCTTTAATGAATTAGAATTTTTTTATTGCGTGCTTTGAGTATTCTGAACAATGTCAAGTGTTCCAGATGAGCATTTTTTTTTTTTATTTAATGGATTCACATAATCCCATCACAG